GTGGTCTGTCATGTGAGTGTGGTCTATCATGTGGAGTGTGGCCTATCTTGTGGGAGTGTGGTCTAACATATGGGGGTGTGGTCTATCATGTGGGATGTGGTTTAACATGTGGGTGTGGCCTAACCTGTGGCATTGACGATGCGATTGGCTCGGATGGTTCCGTGTGGCGTCTGGACGTCCCATCTGCCGTCGGCGGTCGGCGTGAGGCCTGTGACAGGAGCGGGATAATAGATCTGAGCGCCGTACATTCGCGCTCCCGCCGCCAGAGCCATCGTCAGAGAATACGGGTCGATGTGACCATCACCTGGATTATAGAGACCCGCCAACACCTGACACACAGAGACAAGCAGCTTCAGCATCCACACATTTAACATGTATACCGGATTTTTCAGAATATAAGTCATTTTTATTATATGACGTTGCATTTTAGTTACTAACACTTCAACGAGAAAAAAGGGGAAAAAGACAATAAATCAACATTAGTATCTATCTATCTATCTATATATGATCTTACATGACTTATTTTACATTATTTGTACATGTAATAATAAAATGTGACAAATCACACCAAAGTGGTTTGATCTGTGTTTTTTTTCTCTCTCAAGAATGCAATTTTGACTGGGCGTGACTTATAGTATGTATGTGTTCAGTCCTCAGGCGTTCATACCTTGTCCATGTTGAGCAGAGGGAAGAGCTGCTGGATCTTCTCGGGGCCGATGAGGAACTGTGGCGTCGGGTGCCAGTGTGTTCTGGTCATCTGATATTTGAGCTCGTTGACTCGGACCGGAGTGGACGCCAGTCTGATGCTGCCGGGCTGATGGAAGCCCACGGCCTGCGACACAAACATGCCGCAGTCACCACCAATACACCACACCACACACTCAATACAGCTGTAAACGCCTCACAGAGCTGAAGCAGCTCATTACTAGCTCTAGTAAACATGTTTATTGATGTGTCTCACCTGTCCCGTCTCGGCCTCGAGCTGCTCGAAGAGTTTAATGCTGTAATAATGAATCTTCTTCAGATTAATGCCTGGATGATAGTATGTGGTGAGTCCCGCCTGTGGATGAAAATATCATCCGTTCAGACTCTAGTACAGCAGAACAGCATGTGCACACAACATAACCTCTGGCATACGCTGTCAATCACCTCAAACAATACTTATTAGTCAAGTTTCAGCCGGTTTAACCTGGATACTCCAGAGAGACTTCAAAACAAGTCATTTTCACTGTCAGCTGTCATGCTTTTTACATTTGCATTCATGCATTTGGAAGATACTTTCATCAGAAATGAGTAGCATTGCATTCAAGCCCTCAGTAACTAATCAGCAGCTTTCATCACGGAGGGCTTTCCTGACTTACAGGGTTTGTTGCAACCAGGAGCATTTACTAAAACAGCAAATCTAGATTGTATTTGACCCCTGACCAGTGTTCGAATTGAGGGGGGGCTGGGGGGTTGACTCTGTTGAGCTTAGGAATGCAGTAGCCAATCAGAGGCGTTCAGATCAGTCATCGCAGAAACCCCAGAGTTGTTTTCAGACTGAAACTCGTGAATTCCCTCATCATAAGCAACAAAGTGCTGATGTACATACGATGTATTTAGAGATTCAGTTATCATACCGTGTATGGACAGCTTTATTGTTTATGAGAGGAGTTATGAGTGCTTAAACACTAGCTAGACTGAATGCTCATTTAGAGTGTGTTCTTTCACTGCATGATTCAGTATCATAAAATGCATTTAGAATGCTCCCAAAATTCAAGATATGGGGGCAGAAAATTTATATATTTATATAATTTCATATAGTTGATCAATATCACACGAAGAGTGCCATTTTTTCGCAAAAATCACAAATGTGATATTGATTTTATACAACAGTTCAATAAACAAGAAGCTAATATTAAGAGACTTACGTTTTAGACACCATATTGCCTATTTTTGTGCTATTTCGCCAACAAAAAATGGTCCTAAACAGAGCCACAGCACTCTTTTGCGTCTCTGAAAAACATGACAGTGATTCGTTCCTGAATGAATCAACCGTTTAAATGATTCGATTCAATCG